AGAACCGCCTTTGGGACCGGCTTTACCTGCACTGCTCGCTCTCCGAGACGCCCCGTTCCCTCCAGCAGCCGCCGGCCCCCATCCCCTCCCTTTCTCTCCTCCATCCCCTCCTCTCCTCCATCCCCTCCTCTCCTCCATCCCCTCCTCTCCTCCATCCCCTCCTCCCGGCCCCCTCCGTCCCTTCCTCTCCCCCGGCCCAGCCCCTCCTCCTCCTCGCTTCGCTGTAAATCCGCCCCTGGCGCTGGGCAGGAGCTTTTCTCTCCCTTCTCACTCTCCCTCGGCACGTTTATTTAGCCGCGCTCAATTATCGTCTGGCTGTTATTTTTTAAGGGAAAAATCACCGCGGTTCTCTTGGATTTCCTCTTGCGGCGGAGGGCCGGGCCGGCGGGGGAGAGAGAGAGAGAGAGGAGAAAAAAAAAAAAAAAAAAATTCCCCAACCTACTCTGCTTTTATCACCTCCTTTTCGCCCCTCTCGGCAGAGGGGTGTGCGAGCAGCGTGGAGGAGCGGGCGCAGGGCGGGTTTGCAGCGGCTGGAGCATCCGTGCGCTCGGCAGCCGGTGCGGGAGCGGCGCTCCCCGCCGGGACAGCCGCACCATGGGCCGGCGGCGGCTCTGCTGGGCTCGGCGCTGCTGCCTCCTGTCTTTGTGCCTGGGCTGCCTGGCTCTGTGCGCTCAGGGGGCGGCCGGCAGGCAGCACCGACCGCCGCCGCTCCGGCCGCATCCCCGCGCTCCGCCCGCGCACCGGGAGGACGGCACCGGGAGCGCCGCCGGCCGGGTCCGCCGGCGAGGACAGCAGGATGCGCTTCGAGGGTAGGGACAAGGCTGGAACCCCCTTCCCCGCCGCCTGTGTGCCGCCCCGGAGCATCTCCGCGGGCAGAGCCCGTTCCGGTGGTCTCCGTGCGTCCCCCGGTGCCGCTCCCCGCCCGCCGCTCTGGGGCTGAGGACTCGCGGGTCGCTAAGCTGGCAGCTCGCCTGGGGAATCTGGCTTCCTAATTAGTGCGATTTAATTAAAGCCAGACCTTGCGGAGGGCTTGTCTTAACGAACTGACCTCATTTGGCTCCTTTGGTCCAGCGTCTTCCGATACACTGGGATGCTTTGCCGCTCACTTTTTTGGTGGGTTTCTACCAAGAAGTGATGCAGTCTGTTTGGATTTCTTCTTCTGGTGTTTTGGGGACTTCTTGATATTTTGAGTTAATTTATGTATACTTAAGAGCAGGCATCCCTTCTGTCTATTGTCAGATGACAGCAAGAAGCCCGTTTTTATGGCAGTGCTTCTCAGACTTTGAATGAAAGCAGAATCAAACTCCTCCCTTCCATATCCTCAGCTCCTTTTGCCTAATGTACCTCTCTTTACACTAACCAGTTGAACTAACCCAAAATGAAATGCCTTGGAGGAAGATTTCTTTCCTTTTGGGAGGATTTTTTTTTTTTATAGACAGCTTTGCTATGCAGTTTTGTTTTATGCAGCTGGATTCTTCCCGTGCGTGTATATAAAATATTAAATTCTCTTTAGAGTGCTTCCTACTTTCCCATACACATTTATTGATTTGTCTGTGTCGCAGGCCAAATATCTGTGGTTCCAGATTCCGCTCCTACTGTTGCCCTGGGTGGAAAACACTTTCTGGAGGAAATCAGTGCATTGTTCGTAAGTGTCTGACCACTTCCACTGCTCAAGGGGTAAAAATAAAAGTCAATATTCTTCTATGAGTCACTGTTTATTCACCATGAGAAAAGCTATTTCAGTTCTGGTTTGTGTTATTTTTAGAAATAACAGAAAAAAGGGAAGGGAAAAGAAAAAAACAACCAAGATGGAGTTACATGTTCACATTCCTTGTAACTGAAGGGCTGCCCAATGAACTTGGAATGTTCATAAGAGACACATCTCCACCTGGCTTTTAAAGAAAAAACTTTGTCAAATCAAATACTGAACTGTAGCAACAGGGAAAAAAATGCCTAAAGGTCTTGAAGTTGTCTGAAACTTGAAATTACAATAAGATAGAAAGCTTCTTTACACCTGGGATGCTTACTCTTTTGTCTGTTATTTTTAGTTGTGTTCTAATGCCTGTCAGGCATGTAGACTGGCTCCTGGCTGGTTGTGGTAGGTACTGTGCTGGCAGATGTGATTTTTGACATCCATGGCATGGAAAAAAAAGAAAAAAAGCTCTGTGTGTGTGGGGAGTGTGCTCAGTACTCTGGTGGGATGATGTCTTTGGGAACATTTTCTTACCATGGAACAGAGAATGAAGTTTAACTTTCTCGCTGTTAGGTAACAGCTGATTGTAGAGAATGCTTCCTTCAGACCTTAAATTTTTAATGTGTTGCCATTTAATCTAGGCTGTCACTGTCTGGTTTGTTAATAAGTGTGCTCAACTTCAGAATTCAGGTTCAAGAACGTACTGCTCTTTATGTAAGCAGTGGAGGTGTTTGTAGTTCTCCGTGTGATAAACTGCAGGCATGCAGGATGAAACTGGGCAAGAGAAGAGTGATAAGACAAGGTCTGCCAAACTTTTGACTTTTGGTGGCTTTTTTTTTTTTTTATGATTCCAAGGCTACCTCACCTGTTCACATCTATTGGTTTTACATGGTTAAACTTGACTAGCTAATACTGGGGATAACTGCCATTCATAACTGTAACATTTATTTTCACCTCAAACTGACCCAGAATTTCCCAGGATATGGTGCCAAATGGGTAATGGTGCCATTAAGAGGAAGATCCTTTTATTAATATCACTGTGGTATCCAAGGAGTTCCTCAAAACATTCTGTTCACATTTATCAACTCTTTCAATACTGGCTTACTTTACATTAAAGTAGAGATTTTAAGAAGAATTTAGGCTGCCTATTATGCTGTTGACTGTCAGGCTTTTAAGATTCAGCTGTGGGTCTGGCAAAAATGTGGTTAGGGGTTTTCAGCAATCCTTACAAGACACCCTTTAAATTGTGACTCAGTGCCTCTTAAAGGCCTTGGTCTCATATTCCCCACATCCAGAATAATCTTTGATTTATTTTTAATTTATGTGCACAAAGAACATATTTTAGCTCCTGCATGCTTACTTACAGCAATCCTAATTGCTTTAAGCAACTGAAACGAAAATTGCACTTCCTAATGTGTTTCTAGGGTGAGTCATTTTGGCAGACCAAATATTGTCTGTGACAGTTTTCTGTTTCTATTTTTGGTGAAGGTTTAAGTGTGCAATTTCCATGCTCACATTTAATGTCTGTGGAGATGACATTCCCTTTAGCTAGGGTTCTTCACCTAGAAAAAGCCTCCTGCACAGGAAGTTGGACAAGCTTATCAAACTTCCTATTGGAGATGTGCTGATTATAATGATGCATATTGCAACTGGTGATTTTAAAGTGGTATTTCATGAGGAGAAATCTATGAGCCACTGGTAGGTGAAAAATAAACCATTCTGACTGACCTAACAGTGTTTCAAGCTGATGATGTGGTGGTGGTTGTTGGTCGTCTGTGGCACATTTATGATTAAAAGTGATGTTTTATCTAAAAATCAAAGGTGTGCTTGCTTTTGCTCTTTTGTTATACAGAGTAAACTGTTCTGATAAAAGCATATTTAGGATATGCCTTAAGGTCTAGGGCTTTCAGTTGGTAAAAAAATTACTCCTTAATGTATAATAAATTAATAAATGGACTAAATGTAAACCTTGCTTTATCAGGAGATTGACCTTGTGGTGTATAAAGATGGACTGAACAGGAATATAAAGAAACCAACCCTGTTTCTGGTGCTTGTCAAGTGCTCTAAATCCAAGTCCTGTTTCTCACTTCTGCTCGTGGAATAGTATTTTAAGTCAGTCCATGATATGTCTGTAATTCCAGCTAAACAGAAAAATCCCACAAACTCTTTGACCTGTCATACCTTGGGACATAACTGTAGCAGAATTTAATGATAAATGTAGATGATGCATTTTGCATCTTTTTGATGCCCAAAGCGTGGTGTGACATGTGATCTCCCCAAGGTATTTGTTCCATTGTAGTCCTTTAGTGGAGATGTGCTGCCAGATTATTTGGTTCTCACAAAATTCTAGGCCTATTTACAAAGAAACTGTGATTCCTGAGTTTTTTTTTTTGGTGTGTATGTTTGATTTTGAGGATTTTTTGCTATACAAGTCTGTTGTCTGTTCCATGATATATGTATTTTTGAAGACCACTATGTGTTGTGCTCTAGTGGCTCTTACTGCTTCAGGCTCTCTTTTGATTCATTCGCTACTTGAGGAGATTAATTTGATATATTAGTCTGGGTCTGCTTTAGACTAATTTTGACTTCTGGCTCTTTTTTTTGTGGTTCTGTCACTCCTTTCTTCATTGGAGCTGTGCTGGATGGTGAGTGAGAAGGGAAGGCAGGACTTTGGGTCATCAGGGGGATGGCACAAGGTCAGGCATGTGACACACATGTGGGGTAGATAGGCTTTCCTGGGGATTTTATGGTTAATACAATTTTTTTATAAAAGTGTGGAAGCTGTCTGAGTGCAGGAAACTATGTGTAGGGAAACACCACAAAACTGCTTTGGGCAAAGGGCGGGTTATCTTAGGAAAAGAAAAAAGAAAGAACCTAAAATGGCTTCAAAATCGTGATTATAAGAGTGAAGCCCATAGCATAAATTGGCATTGTTTATATTCCTTTTAATCTTGGGTTCTTGGTAACGTTTTCTCACAGGTCTTGTGGTCTAAAAGACGTATTTTTAATAATTTTATATTTCCTGTATGATTGGCTGGTATTTCTAATTGGGGAAAGGCTTGATCACCTGGTTTCAGTGGTCAGGTCAGTGTTTGAATATGCCTGATCTAATTCTGTTTGCCTCAAATTTGTCAAGAGACACTGATTATGCCAAAAATCAGTTAGCTTTATTTAACTTAAAATTACTTTTGCATGTGTAATAGCTGTCACAATGAAGTGAGTTTTTAAGCGTTGTTGTTTGTTTGTTTGTTTTCCTTGAAGTCTAAGCCTCAGGTTGCTGTTAATCCCTGTCACTCTCTGTGTTCTTCCTCAGCAATTTGCAGGAATAGCTGTGGTGATGGATTTTGTTCCCGTCCCAACATGTGCACTTGTGCCAATGGGCAGATATCACCCACGTGTGCAGCAAGACCTGGTAAAGACTTACTGTGTTTCATTAGAGGTTTCTTTGAGAGTCATTCTCTTCAAGTTCCAATGACAAAAATGCCAACTCCATTAAAAATAACTTCTCATTACTGCATATGAGAATGTAAATTGCGCTTAGGTAAAACACCTCAAGTTGTTGATCAAGTTTGTTATACAACACGTTTATTCTGTGTGACAAATTTTAATAAAATATCCTTAAAGAGAGAAGGGAGCTTACAAATGAATGTGTGTGATATTTACATTTTCACTGAGTCCATTTTGTTAAGAAATTAAGACTGTGCAGTTTCCAATGCAGTTGAAAGTTCCAAGTTGCAACAGAATCGTGGAAAACTTGAGAAAACCTCTCCACAAGTACACACTTAAACGTGTATATGAGATGGTACAAAGCCCATCATTCAGACCCCATTTTAAAGGCTGTAAAAGGCTGTTCCTTTGTGGTGTATTTGGCTGATTTTGGGTGTCTCTCTGCAGCCCAGCAGTGCAGCATCAGCTGCAGGAACGGCGGGACGTGCGTGGATGAGCAGTGCCAGTGCCAGAAGGGCTTCTCTGGTGCTCACTGTGAGCAGCGTAAGTCAAGGCCAGTTTGCTTGAAGTGCAGAGAAAATACCTGAAAGAAATGCTTGGTTTGGGGTGTGCTGCTCGTCTGGCAGTCATTTCCTGCGTGGATGCTTTTGTGCTCTCTAAAATTCAAGTTACAGATGGGATTCACCGAGGGGCTTTGGGAAACCCTTGGGGAGCAGCATCACTGTGCATCCCACTCTTCATGCAGGTGTTTCATTCTCTTTTCACAAGGTTTCCTCTACCTCACAACAGTGCTGCTACTGGGTTGAAGAATGTTTTTCTGTTTTCTGCTTAGTCTAAGGAAAAATGGATTAAATATGGTTCAAGCTATTTGGCTCCTTTTTGGGTTGACAGACAAACTAGAAAGTGAATTATTTACCTATAACAGCACAGTGTTTACAAGCTGTAGCAACTTAGCAAACAATAAAAGTCCCTAAAGGCTGCAGGGATGAAGAAAGATGCAAAGTGTATTCTGAGGCCAGCTGATTATTAATTAGGAGAGAAATTAACTGCATAAAGCAGTCTGAAAGAATTAGAGACAGAGGGCAGCTCTGCAAAAACCACATGGACTGAATATTGGGGAAGATATTTTTTTTTGTCACAGTAATTTTTATAAATTCTGGAAAACAGTCTTGTTCTTGCTTTAACTGGATAAAACTCAAATTTTAGCAAATAGTTTTAATCATGATCTGTCATCATAGCCTCAGTGAAATTTTGTATTAAGGTTGCTGGTCCTTTCCTACTATTGTTAAAATATTGGGTCAACACCTGAATGCTCTCAGACAAGGCAAATTTCCAGTGAACAAATAAGATGATTGAATTTTCAATTCAGCTGTGACCCTGGGGCAATGCAGAAAATTTGAAAAAATTCTGGAGATTGGTTTCAGTGTATCATGTATTTAAAATTTCAATCAGGATTATGAATACGTGTATTTTAGACAGTCATAAAAATGTAAATATGTTTTTATTTCTATTTAGAAAAAATGAATAGCTTATAATGAGTTTAATTGTCTTGCTGAAGTGCCGTTGTCCATTAATTCAGTGATATAACACATGAAGCAAAATATCTTCATTTTATGTGTGCATTCTCAGGAAAAGGTAATGCTGTTTGGTGGGTCTTGGTAAGAAGTAAGGCTTTATCACATTTCCACAAAACAGTATATTTTATCCTCTCCACTATGATACAGGAGTCATGTGTACCTTTTTTCAGTTTGAAATAATTACCTTCTCTTGGTTTCTGAGGGTCTTTTGTCCTGGATACTCACATGTGTAACAAATACCACATCCTAACTGAGGAGACGTGTTTAGGAAGGCAGCCTCATGACTTTGAGACCAAAAATTTAAAGTTTTAAAATTTTTGCGACTGTCCTATATCTGAAATATTTTGATTTGGAACATGTGCTAAATTTGGACAATTTTGAAGCAATGACCTGAAGCAATGAGTTGGAAAGTAGCTGAAATGAGTTAGTTAAGGCACTCTTTTAATGGTGTTTTTCAGCCTCTCTGAAGAACCGTCTTCCTTTTGAACTGAAAAAATTCAGTGGTCTGGCAGGAAGCTTTGTTCTTGATTCAGACTGGTAAAAAGTATGAGTGGGTGCTCTGAAGTCCCATAACAGTGAAATATCTTTCTCATCTAAATGTACTGTGGATTTATAAACCTTTCACCCCACCCAGCTTCCTCCCTCACCACAATTTTTTTTTTTTTTTGTTGTGAACTTTTAAGAAACACATTTTTTTCAGGTAAAAAATGATGAGTTAAGCAGGTACTTCTTTACCTTTGCTTTTAAACACTACTCCTCCTTCCAGCAGCATCAGCTCAGGGATGATTATCTCCCTCTTGGACTTCTTTCTCTTCTCAAAAGATTTGTTGCTGTTATGACTAAGATGCCCAAAAAGTAGTTGAGGTTTGATAGATAGGTGACTTCAGTGAGGGATAATAAATTCTTACATAATCCTTATGAGTGGCTGGAGTTTTGGAGGTGGCAGTGGGGAGATCAGTTCCATCCTCAGGCCTAGGAAGACTTAGAGCAGTGGGAGAAAAATGAATATTTTTAAAATTATGCATATATTAACCTTGAAATGCCATTGCCATGACCTTATTAACCCTTTTTTCTGCTTGTTTTGGTGACTGAAGCTGTCTGTGAGAGTGGCTGTCAGAACGGAGGACGCTGTGTTGGACCCAATCGTTGTGCTTGTGTCTATGGCTTCACTGGCCCTCAGTGCCAAAGAGGTAAAAGAAATTTAAAGAAGGAGATTCTGAGTAGTTATATTCAAAAAAATTTCTGTGTGTACATGTCTTACACTGTGTACTTTCAGCAAACCACTTATTATTTGTTATTTTAGAAAACGTCTTCTTTTTTTGTTGTTTTTAGTTTGGCAGACACATTAAAAATTGACATGTCCAAAACCTAATTGGTAGGAAATTCAGCTCCTTTAGGCTGTATATTTTGTTCATGTAATAGTTAAAAGATTAGATGTCTTTTCCTCTCTGCTACATGAAATTAACAATCCAGCAAAATTGCTGGTGGTGTTGGCGTTGGGTAAGTCCAGGTAATTGAAGGATTTATTTTCTATATAACACCTCTTTCATAAGAGGAACTTGGGAAGTAATTTGCTCTAGTTAGCTGGGAGGAAGTCAGAGAAGGACTGAAAAATAACCAGCTACCCTAATACATGGATCTGTTCCAAAACCCATTCTTATTCCAGTCTGCATCCCAGAGATGGCTTCCAAAGGGAGTCCTGTGCAATTCCCTTTTCAAATTCAGCAGTGAAATGCTCAGAGCTGTGAGCATAAATTTTGAGAAACCTCTTGCACCTTTTTTATGTTTTTAAATTTTTATTTTAGCATTTGTTAACTGTGAAATGGGAATAATTTCCCTGGAGGTAAAGGAACTAAAAACCCAAATACTGGAAAAGCAGGAGTTTCTATTTGCTATTCCAGGCTGGTTTATATATCCACTTGGTATCACAAGCATGAGAGAAATGTAAAGGATCAGTTTATTTGTCTCTAGTTTCTTGTTTTCATTCTTAAAACCTGATTTACAGTTTTCTCTTTAGCCCATTTCCTGTAGTTGCTTCTTCTGAAGCAAGCACAGGGACTCAAATCATACATAGTTTGATTAGTAGAGAAATAAGTAATATTTTGTTAAAAATCTATTACTACTTAGAGCTGTTTTAAAGCCATTCAGAGACATGTCTGTGCACGATGTCTAAAATAAGAGACTACCAAATCTTTCTGCTTAGAATGGATTTTCAAGGGATTGGACAAGGGTAGGATAATTTGTAGTTTGAACCTTACTTCTGATGGATCTTAACATTGCAAATTCTGCAGTCTGGGCTGTGTGTCTAAGGTGGATTATACTTCTAGCTGAACTATAGCATGATAGAATTGCAATTTTCAATTTTTTTTTTTTTATTTAGTTGATTACATTCAGAAATGCTTTTTATTTATTTTCAGACAACTTGGCAATCTTACTTTTTGTCCCAGATAAAAAAGTAGAAAGGTCATTCTTAGTTAAGATTTGCTTCTGTTCTCTGGAATCATATTAATGCATATGACAGACTCCAGCTGTGATGATGGCTCAGAGCTTTTAGTAATGATATTCATACTTTAAATAGTTTGACCTTCAAAGCTTAAAAGATTCTACTACATGTGGGTGTTGCAACTTAACTTTTGTGATGATGAAACGTTTTAGGTTTGCTTTCTTATCATTCATTCTGAAATTTTTAGCTGCAGAATTCAAGCCCTGTACAGAAATTTAAACATCAGTGTTTTGGCATCCTTTTTTTCCCAGCTCTCCTTGAAAGTCCTATGTTTTCAATTTTGTGTAGAGTGCTCTTGTTCTGCAAGAGTTCATCTGCCCTTTGTGGATAATTGAAAATCTAGTTATTTCAATTAAAGGTTTACATTTTATTGCTTGAAATTGGAGGTAGTAAGCCAAATTTCCTTCTGTCACTGTCAATAAAATATAGCATATGTAATAACTACTTCATATATTTCATGTAATATGGTATGCTTTTACAGCTTTGATAGGGCTAGGTAAAATTTTGCCTAATCTTGATGTTGCTTCTCACATTTAAATAAAGAGGTTACTATTTTATTTTACCATTATTCAGTTTAAGAAAGATGACTCCTATAGTATATCTTGATAATAACTATAAAAAGTATCTAAGTGCTCATTTTGTTTATGCTTTAGATGAGGTGGAGCATATGAAAGTACTGTAAAAGATGCCTTAAATGCCTACTTAGTTCAACAGTAATTTATAATTTATGCTTTTAATGCAATGGTTTATGCTTTCCAATAAATAGCAGAATGCAGTGATTTCTTCATCTGTGGGTTGCCATAGCTGCCTGTAATATTTTACAGCAAGAAGTGTCTCAGTGGTTTAATTTTAAACTGAATTTAGCAGCAATTCATAACTCTGAGTAAAATTTTATAGCTTAAGGATATGTGAACTTCCCTTGCAAATCACCTCAAAGTTATGAGATGCTGTTTTGTAATTTTTATTTACATCACTGTGTTTTAAATGCACATTTTTTTATAGTTTGTAAATTAAGTTCTTTAAAATTAGGTATTTTCTTCCTAATACAGAACATGTGTAGGTTTCCTTCAGCTTGGCCTCCCAGACTAAGCTGTATGATAAAATTGATAAAATGTGGTTGGTTTTTCAGCTATCTGGGCTCTGAGCAGACTAATTTCCGGGCTGGAGACAGGGGCTGAGCAGTAACTGATGACTGGTTTGATCAGAGTATTTAACTTGAGGCTTTCTGCTGGGTTAGAAAGAGAAAAACCTGTTTGGGAGTTCCTGCTTTTTCTGATATGTATACTGACCTCTTACATTTCCTGTCAAATCTGGTCTTTGGCTTGTAAGCACACAAGATCCAAGTTTTTTGTGTGGTGTTTTAAAGGGGAAAAAAAAAAAAAAAGTATGTAGAAATTTCTGCAGTTGAGTTTTCCCAGTGAAAAGAATGGAAAAAAGAAACAGCAATAAACATAAATAAGAGACCTCATTCTCAGTTGTGCATATAAGGACAATTTTTTTTCCCTAGCATGACCAATTCCTTTGGTTTCTCAACATTGTAAATGATAGTTGTGTCACTGCTTGTGGTCTATGTATTTTTTTTAAATAGATAATCTTGAGAGATATGAGGCTGAGGAAGACCAGGGATATTTTCTTCCTTTTTTGTCATGGGATAAAGGGAAGAAGAAGTGAGAAAGGAAAATCTTGTCACTGATGTAGCTTTGCCTTCATCCCATACAGACAGTGGAAGAACAGTTCTTGTTTACTTCGTATTAAATGCCTCATAATGGGAAGCAAAAATTCTAATTTGGAATGAGTAGAAATGTGTAGCTTGGGAAAAGCATCCTTTTGCAGAGGGAAGAGAATTTCAGATGAAGTTACCAAGTTTTGACAGGCAAGAAACAAGGAAAATTAAGGAAGTGCAGTATCTGAGTAGCAGCTCTCCAATAGCTAAAGGGGGCCTCAAACACATCTGGATTTTTTACAAGGGCAGGTAGGGTTTGGACAAGGGTGGTGGCTTTAAACTGCCACAGGGCAGGGCTGGGTGGGATATTAGGAATCAGGAATTGCTCCTGGGATTCCCAGAGCAGCTGTGGCTGCCCCTGGATCCCTGGAATGCCCAAGGCCAGGCTGGACACTGGGGCTGGAGCAGCTGGGACAGTGGGAGGGGTCCCTGCCATGGCTGGGGTGGCACTGGGTGGAATTTAAGCTCCCTTCCAACCCAAACCATTCTGGGAGACTAAAATTTGGTGAATATAATATGAGATGAAGAGTTTTTCTTCAAGCTTGACCGTGGATAGCAAAACTATCAACAGCACAGGGAAACAAGTAGGATGAAGCAAAAAGCATCCTCAGTTGAAGTGTTGTTAGTGTGTAGTAACTGAGACAAAAGAGTAAAGAATAATACAGAACTGAAGTGGGCACACACTGAAGCAGCTGATGGACACAGGGGTTATAGAGATGTTTAGGGATAATACACGTGTTTAAAATTAATAGCAGTGTTTATATAATAGCAGTTTGCTGTTTTAACTTAAAAAAATTACTAGCACAGCAAACTGACACAGATTTGTATAGGAGTCAATACTTCTCAAGTACAATTTTATTTTAAAGAAGAAATACAAGATATATTTAGTCTGTAGTGTTGCTGAAGATGCTCGTGTGTGCTTAAGTGACAGCAATCAGGTCTAAATGAGGCAACAGAAAATGTAATTCCTTAAAAAACTACTTCTGACAGGCATTTAGAAGACCTCTTAATTTTACACAGCTTTTCCTGTCTGTTGGTGCTAGCAGTACCATGAGGTGCTTAACAGCAAAAATGGTTTTTTGATCAGCAAGCTCATCTCTTTTTGTGGGAGTCTTGGGAAGGTAGCTTTTTAATTTTGCTGTGGGGTGGTGGTTTTTTTTTGTTTGGTTTTTTTTTTTTTTTTTTTTTTTTTTTTTTTTTTTTTTTTTTTTTTTTTTTTTTTTTTTTTTTTTTTTTTTTTTTTTTTT